TAATAGAAACAGTCGATTTAGAAAGCTGAAACATTTCAAAAGTCACTTTAGTTAACTCAAGGTATGCTCTTTACGTGAAATACAGCAGTTCAGTAGAGATATCGTCAGTAATCTAGCTGGAAATCCAAATTCCAGTTGTTTGGCAACATTAAACGATAGTTTATTTGATGGTAAAAGAAGAGTTCAACAAACGACATCTATTATCGAGTATCCTGGGAACCAATACAATAAAGGGCTCCATTTCAGCAAATGGTGGCGTCCTGACTGTTGATGGTTGCAAGTATATCTTTAGTCATCGTGTAATTCACTCACGAACAAGATCTGTTGGGTATGAAATTTATTTTTCAGCAAGGCGGTGATTCTAAGCTTACCACAAATGTGGTGAAGCGATACCTGGAAGCATAAGAGGCCGTTGGAGTAGTTGTAATCATTTCTTGACCTATACAAAGTCCTCGTTATCCTTACATGGAAACTGGGAAGGTCAAGTGGCAACTAAACAACTTGGCTGAATTATGGAGGAGTAAAACAGACATTAGAAATAATATTTTACAATTACACACTGCTAAAAATGATGGTAAGTTTGCGTACTGTTAAAAGCAAATACTAAGTAATTGTGCAGTATACAAGTTCTGCTTATGGCACCAGAAAAACTTACACAAAGAAGTATAGTGAATACTACCATCATCTGTCAAGCAACGCTGGTAAAAACAAAACAAAAACTTAACTACAGCAGAAACTCTAAAATCTATTTCATCACAATCAGGATTATTAGTTTGTTCTTTGTTAAGCAGAAAGCTACACAATGAGCTATCCGTGTTCTGCTCACCGCGGGTGTCGAACATCAATGTTTAGCGTTAAAAGCCCTCAGACTTACCACTAAGTCCTATTCAACGAGATTAACATTTCATTGATTATTTACTTTTAAGAGGAAAAAACTGATATTCTGTTGATAATTCTTTTACCCGTAAAATTATCTGTAAGTTATATACTTACATAAAGTGATATCTTAACCACGAATTATTATTTACAAAATTTTAAAGCACTTAATAAACCTTTAATTTATTGACCTGACAATAATCAGTAACAACATTTAGAGACTATTTCGTAAAATACTGTATTCTATTAGTTTTCGAAACACTTACCGCAACTGATGGTAAATGGTAGTTTTAGTTATGGGCTTAAGCACCCATATCCATGCTCTTAATATTTAAGATTTTGTTCGAATTTGATTTTACACGAAGCTTGCAAACATAATTTAAAACTGGTAAATGGTGTTTTCCCCACTGCTGCATGGGTCCTACTTCTATAGACACCTTATTAGGAGCAGCCTGCTGGATAAAGGTCTGAACATCTGATAGTCCATTATATAGTTTTGCTCTTATCAGCAAATAAGCTGATATAGGGGTGAAATTTAGTATTCCTACACTGTACTTTGTGCGCTGATTTTATTTGTGGGAGTGGTGGGGGGTGGGGTGGAGAGTTGCCCTGTGCCAGAGCTCTGCATTTCGGAGGTGGGATCGAATCCGTATTATACCACAAATATTCACAACACTTTAAGCTATGGGTGCGTTACAAGAGTGACAGTTAATATCTTAGCGTGGATGGTGGGTGGTAGGGTGCTGTTGATTACATAATATTTCGAGGTAAATGGTGTTTAGATGGGATTTCAAATGCTGTCGTGTTACGTTCCCCTTCTATCTTTGTATTTTATGAATGGGCTGGTTGTCTTTGTGTTGTCTGTCTGTGTTTGGTAGTTCTCTTTTAAACTTGGCCCGGCATGGCCAGGTGGATAGGGTGCTCGACTCGCAATCTGCGGGTCGCGGATTCGAATCCCCATCACACCAAACATGCTCGCCCTTTCAGCCGTGGGGGCGTTATAATGTGACGGTCGATCCCACTATTCGTTCGTGAAAGAGTAACCCAAGAGTTGGCTCGAGAACCGGTACACTTGCTTCCGTCGGTGCTTTAGTTACGTTACGGACGATCTCGGCGTCCGTCAAGTGCTCATATATTGGGCATTCGTCGTAAACAGAGGGCCACTGGTGTAGCTCTTCTTTGCTCCATTCAGACAGTTTCTTTGCCTCACGTACATCTTCCTTTGTGAAGCCATACAAATCTGTTTCGTCATCATCATCTTCTGTGATGGATTGCCGTGATGAAAAGGCTAGCCCCAGACCCTCTTCCCAGCATTTCAATACACACGACGAGCTGACTGCTGCCCAGGCCTTCCCACCTAAGTGGCAAACTTCCTTCATGTTCAGGCTTTTCAGATAGGCTTCAAGTGTTGTTGAAGGTTTTAACGAGAAAAAAAAACGTTTGAAATGCATTTAGGAGGTTTTAGGGATTACGCAAAGGAAATTTGCGATTGTTTAGATGGAGAAAAGTTATTTAATTTTGACATGAAAATCACTTTGCACTCAGGCTACTTAAAAAAGAATCGATATTTTCACGGACAAATTTAAGTAA